GGCATAGTGAAAAATGATCCAGTTTCTGTTCAAAGCACTTCCTTGGAAGGAGGAATAGAAACAGTAGGAGAAATCTATTGTTGTTTTTTTTTTTTTTTCGATTAAAATCATTGAGTTAGTTGCCATGTAGCAACCCGTAAATGATCAGTGATTGCAGTTAAGGTGGATCAAAAAACATAATAAAATAGCTGGTTAAAGAATGTAACAAATAAAAAATACCGCAAAAGAAACTCAAAACAAAATAATTTTCTTTACAGTGTATTATGTTTAAGATCATAAAGTTTCTGTAAAAGTGAGGTAATGAGATTGAGAATAATCCATCTTTTGTCACATGTATGAAAATGTGCTTTCAATTATGAGCAAAGACATTTACTCAAATAGTCACTTAAGCCATTGGAATAAGAATAATATATATTGCATCCTACTGGTTATATGTGATATAATAATGGAATGTTAAATTTTTAAAAAGGACAGCTGAGAAAAACAAAGAAGCAAAAGGTCCTTTCAAAATTTCTGATAACAAAGTGTCCATGATATCTCAGTACAATATTGAATGACTTCCCTATTTTAAATTATATTATGAATGTGTTATCCAATTTCATATGTTATAAATACTTATATGCATACACATATACACACATGCTTACATATGATTAAGTGGTAGACCATAGCTCTCTTTTAAATCCATGATAGGTTTAAATCCGTCCCAATAAGTTCTTGAAGAAAATTAAAACAACTGCAAAATGCTATCTGATTCAACCAGGACTACTTCTCCAGCATGGTATAAAGGAATTACTTTAGTAAGGTCAAAGATAAGAATATTCAAGCCTAATGAGAAGGCAATTTGAAGGAAATGGAAGAGATCAAAGCAGGAGGGAGACAGGAAAATACAAACAGACAGCAGCTTTAACAGCTGGACAGGTGTTCTCTACAAAAGTAATGGAATTGGTAAACAGAGGGAACAGCTTTTCAATGGAATCATACAAAATGGCTAAGTTGCCAGGGCCGTGGTGACACACGCCTTTAATCCCAGCACTTGGGAGGCAGAGGCAGGCGGATTTCTGAGTTCAAGGCCAGCCTGGTCTACAGAGTGACTTCCAGGACAGCCAGGGCTATACAGAGATACCCTGTCTCGAAAAACAAAACAAAAAAAAAATGGCTAAGTTGCACCAGAAGACATTATAATGCCAAAATTAAAATTCTTTAATTATTTCTAAATATAAATGCTTGATATACTCAAGATTGTAAAACAACAACCACAATTCATGTGCAACTAATAATAAAAAATGTAGATTATAATACAGAAAGTCTGGCGACAAACATATGACGCTATAAATTTATCCACTTATCTATTTCTGATGATTTCTAGACATGATTGACAAATTGATTACCATATTACAAAATTGCAAGGAGGGAAATAAAAGAAACAAAAAAAAGTGAAAATGGCCAACCTGATGTAAAAGAAGACAGACTTAATTATCTAGCCAGTCAACACTGATGGAATTGGAATTGTATCTGCATTAAATACACTTATAAATTGTAAAACATAAAATTGAAAGGGTTTGAATAGAGATAACTATTCTAGAACCTCAATTTTATTATATACGTAACAAAACCACAAGTAATGGCCTATAAAAAATTAATCCCATCAATTTTAGTGCATTTAACAAAGATAGTGCTGATTTATTGTAATTGTTCACTCAAAATGAAAGGCATATATATATATATATATGTGTGTGTGTGTGTGTGTGTGTGTGTGTGTGTGTGTGTGTGTGTTTGTGTGTGTGTGTGTGCACGTGTGTGTGTGTGTGTGTGTTCATGCGCGAGAGAGGAGAGGAGAGAGAGGGAGATGGAGAGAGAGAGAAAGAGAGAGAGAGGGAGGGAGGGAGAGAGAGAGAGAGAGAGAGAGAGAGAGAGAGAGAGAGAGAGAGAGCGAGCAACAAAGTCTATTTAGCTCTGGCTATTTCAGAACTTGCTATATAGACCAGGCTGGCCTTGAGTCACAGAGATCTTCCTATGCCTGCATCTAAATGCACAATCATTGCTGTTACTGTATCAGTTAGTTCCATTTACAAATTCTAGTTAACAATGGGAAGAGTCAGTAAGGACAGTCCATAATGACAATGTAAAAATACTTCATATTTTTACAGTTATAGAACTCTGTTGTAACTCCAAATATGCATGGCAGTTTTTTAAATTCCCACTTTTACTGCAGTCCTCCAATCTACAACGTAGAGGACATAACTTCTGAAATATTATGTAATATGGAGATTTTTAGAACCCCTGTTTTGTTAGAACACAGAGAGCATTGGTTTTCCTTAAAATCCAGGCCTTAGTGACATCACATGAAGACAAGCACATCTCTCCCCTAATCCCTGAAGGAAAGCTGCAATGAGTGGTCTTTCGTTCCCATGCTGTTCTCACTGTTGTTTTCTTCTCAGCCTCAAGTAAAGGACACTGTGAGCACTGTCAGAATAATGTTCTGAGTGACCACTAGAGAAAGAGAAAAAAAGAAGGATTAAAGGGAGACAGAAAGACAGCAAAAGGGAGTAGGAAAGGAAAGTGAACACAGTCCTGAATACTGTCTCAACTGTTAAGTACTGTGAATTGATTTTGTTTTGGGTTCTATTTAGTAGGACAATGACACAGTCGACATTTTTCTCAACTTGACAATATATTAAATAAGGTTCTCTAATGACTTTAGACCAGTACCTCCTTCATCACATTTAGCTCAGAAAGATGAATAGTCTCCAAAGTAGGTACGAGTCAGAACCATTTAACCCTGAGAGCTCACACAACTGCTGCTGTTGGATATTCAGAGATACACAGCACCATCGTGGTCCCAGATACTGGAAGAATTGCACATCTGTCATATAAAAACAAATATGACCGAGCTTCTGTCTCGTACAAAAGGGATATTTGGAGTAAAATTTTCATTTGCAATATATTATTTTACAATTTAACTTAGAGGTGATGCTTAGAATCGTTATTTATATCCTCCTCTTTCCTTTCTGTAAATATTTTCTCACTTCAGTTTTAAGATAGCATTCTCTTGTGTTTTAAGAGTGAAAAAAAAGTGACTACATCATAGAAGGACAACTATTTTCTTAATCACTAATGCAACTCTCCTAATAAACATAGCTCTATGAGTTGATACTTAGTACCATTATATTGTAATACATAGTTATATACATATGTACATATATATATATATTATATATAATATATGGTTAAGTAGAACTATTAATACTACTAGTTACTCATATTATTGTCAGAAACTATTCACTTTATATTTCAAAAAACAATTACTTCTTATTAGCCACAATACTCGTATCACCCATATTAAGAATTGATTATTTGACATAAGAATTTTGGATCTACACAAGTTCAGGACACGATTTTGAACAATTCCTGGGCGGAGTATTTAGTCATGGTCTCAGACTTTCATAATTAAATATCAGCATTGATTCATTTTCAGTTAGCAACAAATATCACATAAAGAGTCTGTAAACATATGGTAGTCATGAACCAAAAAATTCTGCTCAGCAAAATATGATTTGTGACATATTTAGATAAGAAAAGTGGTTGAAGTTCTTCTATACCCCAGGAAATCAGCTTCATGCACTTTAATCCTTTACTTCTCAGATGCTTCCAAATGTCTTACACAGTCTCTTGGAGTGCAATTAAATGAATACATGAGACCAGGTAGTATGAAGGGTCATAAATAACGTTAGAAATTCATAGAGCGATGACTGTGATTTTTCAGATTGTCATATATGAGCAAAAGCATTTCAGCAGATCCTGAGAAATCTTAATGATCTTGAAAAAACTTTATCCTCCTGTGAACATGGTTTAGACTGCTGTATTTTGTAATACTAAAATCAAAATGGCAGGTGAAGAATGTTGACGAAATATACATTGGAATCTTCATAATTCTTAAGTAAACACCCTTAATTTTTAATTATCAAAAATATCTGTCTTTCTTACTCCTTTTACCTCCCAATCCATCAGTGGTTTTTATTTGGATATTAAATCTTGAGAAGAAGAGTTGGGAAACTGCTTTGCACAAATGAAGGTATTTCATTCATTAAAAGGTAGAGTGAGATATTGTGATATATGAAGTATTTTGCTTTCACAGACAAAATGCAAGAGAAAGCTATTTTAGTGATGGTTCAGCAATATCCACTCAAGTAACATTTCAAAGTCATAGTAAGTGTTAAGAATAATGATGCCATACTCTGCCGTGGTTGGATAACCAAGTGAAGATTGATGTAATGTTTGCAGTATGAAAGTTAGCAGAAAGAGAAGTACATTTCCCATTTTTAATTCTTCAAGTTTTTAATTAGTTCTGATTTTCTGTCTTACCTATTGCTCACAGAAACCATTGAAGATTTTAATTGCTATTTGTTTTTTCTCAAGTTTGCATAAAGCTGATGTTATATTATTTTTTTATTAAAAATAGAAATATTAGTGTGTTTTGAAATGTATTCACCCATGGTCAGTGATTGTGTGTTACAACAGATGCCATGAGAAATTATAATAGGCATTAAGAATGGTGAATAGAAATGATAAAAATCGAATGCATCAATTTATTTTTAGAAAAATAAATAAATACTAGCAGATGCTCAAAGTTCATGCCTTACTTCTCATTACCTGAAAGTTAAGTTTAAGGAAATATTTTCCCCTGTTGTCATTTATTCCCTACCTGATAATTCTCAATTGGTGAGGTTTTGTAACCTCCATGGGAACATTTGTCAATGACGATGAAGGCTTTCTAGTGGCATTTATAGAAAAGGGGTAGATAGAGGGATCTTATTCATAATATACAGGCTAGTCTCCACCAAAAATGTTTACTTAGTGGAGCCAGCTTACCAAATAAATTTCAAATTTGTTAAGGCTGAAAAAAATAACAGCTATAAACTAGACTAAATCTCTGACACTGAATATAATTTTTGATTAAAATATTAAATACATATTTTAAATAAGGAGTTGGCAAGACCCCTACTCCTAGAAGTTTTGCACGTGTGACTGATGTGTCTCAAGTGTACCAGTGGGAAGTAGAGAGGACAGAGGCTATATCTATGCTCAGTGTTCTGACTGAATGATGTTCATCTGAATGATTAGCATTCCCTGATAAAACCGTGCTAAGATTAACACTAGTCTAATATCACGAGCATTAGCCCAAGACAGATAACCCTCCCATGGGGCATCTGAATTGAGTAAGGACTGAGCCCTAGATAACCACCAGACCAGTGTCATAGAGCATGGACAGGAAGTTAGCTTGAGATGACCACCAGTCAGGTGCTGAGCAGGACAGACCATGCCAGAGATAACTACTTCCAAGCACCATGATGCACAAGGGGGAGCATAGCACTCCTGAGCCCTGACGTCAAGAGAGCTGAAGAGCTGGAACACTCAGGAGAGCAGAACCTGCACCTTGACTGGGAAGCACAGCAGAGCTGACTCTGGTGAAGGGGACATGGGTAAGCTGACCCCAATGCACGAGCGTAAGAGAGCTGACTGCAACACTTGTCTGCCATGCGGTGACATGAGCAAGAAAAAAACATCACTCCCCCCACCACACACACACACACACACACACACACACACACACACACATACACACAGAGATTTGCCCTTTACCACCAATGCCAGGAGGCAATTGGACTGGCCATGAAATCATCAGAGTCAGATAGCCGGCCCTGCCTCTTACCTGCTGCAGCACTTCATAGTGTAGGCTGTGGGTAGCATAACAGAGCTGACCCTTGATATGGAGATTGGACGTAAGCTTGTTCCAAGGACATCACCATGGGAGAGCCAGCCTGTTGTCTGCTGAGTGGTGGTTAGGATGAAGGAGAGAAGCCCTCATCTCTTACCATCTGTGTCAGGCAGAGAGCTGGCCTCGGTGTTATGAGAGCAGGAGAACTGGTCACCTTCCTCACTCAGCTGCAACAGTCAGGAGGGCCGATCCTGTACCACATCTGGGCAAAAGTGTACAGCTGAACCTTGTACCAAGGGTTTCTGGTGAGCTGGCCCTGAGAATGCGAAAGCCAGCAGCCTGACTGGCTCAGATACCTCTCAGGCCCATACCCAGGGCTTTAAATTGGCCCCACCCCAACATCTATCCCATTGATGAACTGCGGGAGTGCATGAAGGAGCTAGTGTCTACGGCACAGGACAACAAACAGGAGTCACAGTGAGTCCTGACTGATATGGGTAGACTAGCTAGCAGAAGCCAGAAGCCTCACATCAGACTAATGAATCATTGCAGAGAAGATTTGCAAGCAAAGAAGTATAGACAAAGAGTCTACGGTGGGACACACTGTGACGTACTACAACTTCTACAAGATTTTTTTTTTTATCTGTTGGGGCGTCGATTGCAAAGGTGGAGGTGTAGTGCAGGTATGAGTGAGCTTGGGGTACATGACGTGAAATTCGAAATGAACCGATAAGAATTTTTAAAAAGTCCAAAGAAGTCCTATACCTTGGTAAATAGTCCCTTACTATTAGAACTTCATTGTATACGACAACCAGTATAGACAATGTCAAAAGGAAGTTTCCAAATAACCAATGCTTACATAGCTTCAGGAACAGAAGTGGATCCAATTTCTAACACTGGACCTAGGCAATGTCTACACGTTAGTAACGGCACAAATGGAGCATCATGTGTTTCTTCATCCATTATTGTAAGGCAGCTCAATTTCAGCAAATACAGCTGGCTAGTCTTGGTCTCAGGATGTGTCTGTTTTATTTGTTTGTTTGTTTTTATTTTTGTTTGTCTGTTTGTTGATGGGGACAGATTATACAGTGGATATTATTGGGCAGAAAATAAGATTTATCCAGCATTCAAGAGAGTGGCTATACAAAGTTTTGGAAGTACATTTTGATATTATTTATTGTTTTTTCACTATTGACATTGTATGGAATATTGTTACTATAAATCAGTTATAGAAAACTTTTAATGGTACATTAGCTGTAGAATTTCCCCTCTCCTTAGCCAATGTTGAATGTTTCCCCAATATTTTGATTTCATCCCAAGAACTGGAACAGACATAATCATTCATCATTGTAGAACAGAGAATTTCAACCGAGGTCTTCTGGCATTTTTAAAAATTGTATACAGAATCACCTTGGTGTTTCTGGCCAGGGAAGCAGATCGGCGCTTTGTTCAGCCACCATCAGAGATGTTTGCTCCTGCAACCGATGATAACAGATACAGAGATCCGCAGGTACCTTTACACAGAGGCTGAGAGATGTTGGAACACTCAGCTCTAAATGAGGCCCCCATGGAAAAAGACAGCCAGAGATAAGAATCAGAGAAAATGGAGGACACCAGGAAAGCAATGTCCTCTAAATCAATGTGAGCAAAGCTCATACAAACTTGCAGAGACTGAGACAGCATGCACAAGGTCTGCATGGGTCTGTGTATATATTATGGCTTTCAGCTTATTCTTTTTATGGGATTCCTGCGTGTGTTGATGAGTGACACCTTCTCTTGGGTCTTTTCCTTCTGTTTGCTTATCATGTCCACCTCTGATATGCCATTTATTGTTTTACCTTATCATATTTACTTTTATATCTTAGAAGCTTGTTACTTTTCTCATAAGAGACAAAAAAAAAGGTGGAATGTGAAGAGGCAATGTGGCAAAGGACTGGACAGAAAAGAGAAAGACAACACAATAATCAGGATATATTATGTCATGAAAATCTATTTTCAATAAAAGGAAAAGATAAAGTAAAATAGAAATTATGGGAGAAGAAATGGAATGACATTAAAATAAAACAACAGGACAATTGTAGGTAATGCAATAAATGAGAATTCAAATGTTACTTTATGCATATCTACACATAGTTATGCCTTTCTTAAACATTCTTTGACCTTCTTGCATGTTACTTACTGTTTGTTCTTTCTTCCTTGTTTCTTTTCATAACTTTTCCTTATATTTTATGTTTGCTTGTTTAGTTTTGTTCCTTTGAGACAGAGCTTCATGTAGCCCAGGCTGGCCTTAACCTCTTTATATGGAAAATATTTTATTGCTTTACCTCAGTATACCTTCTCCAGCTTACCTTACAGGTAAAACCTGAATTAAATTAAGCTGGTCAATAAGTTTCTGATTGATGACTTAGAAAAGTTATAAAACATACTTAGATAAGGATAATTAATCAGCTCTAATCAAACATAAGCACACAGTATGTAGGACATAAATTAATGAAGCTTTTATTAAACAGAGAGAACCTTCTTGTTTATCCACACTCCCCCCTGAAATTTTACTGAAGTGATAATTAAATATGAAAGCTACTAATCCACAGGGAACCTTCGGAATTAAACCTAGTTGGAGTTTTAATTTTGAAAGACTCCATCATTATTATGGATGTTGAATTCCTTCCAATGTTTACCCTCTAGCCCCATTTTCCTGAAGTCTCCCTTTTCCCCAAATCCCACAAAAAATGCGGCAAAAAAGGGAGCTTAAGTTTCAGCTTTTCTGTTGCTTGCAACTATTCCCACCATGGCACAGTGAGATACCATCCTCCGCCTGTATTATGGTCACTTTGCAGTTGCTTCTCCTCTGGTGCTTTATTATTCCATATCTAGGCAACAGTGAAGCATAAATGGAAGTTAGACTAAGGGAACTATTTCTCAGCATTCTCCTGTGTGAAGAAACTCCACTGAGCAGAAAGCATTAACTATTCTTTTGTGACTGAGGCAGCCTCTTCGATACAGTCTATGTCAGAATGCTGCATATACTCAGAGTTCAAAAGAATGTATACTTTGGGAGTGGATTGATCACAGGGAGCTCCGTGAGCATCATGTCAGTGATCTTGTTCTTCTGAACCTCAGCTATCTCAGTATGGAAACAGTGTCAGAAATAGTAGTAATCATCCCAATAATAAACATAGCAGATGCCCCCTCTGTTCCTGAAGGAGACTATGAAACATATTAAGGTGTTACAAAAATGAAAATTTCTACTACTTATTTTAACATAAGATCTTGCTACCCAATCATTTCAATTTTGCCCAGTTCATTTATATTTGTTTCAGAAAATATGTGCTTCCCTATGTCTGAGTAACCTGTTTCTAGCTCTCATTTGATTGATATGATTTCTTCGTATATGGAGAAGTGTACATGTGTATACAGGTACATATATGTTTTGGTGCACATACACAATAAACCTGCATGTTTTTTATATGTGGAAGTTAGAGGACTGCCAAAGGTGTTTCTTGAGAGCAGGCCACCATCTTTTATTAATCAGGGTCTCACTGGCCTAAAATTCAGCAGATAGATGAGTCTGGCCGGCCAAGAGCTCTAGCACCAGCAGGTCTCTTCTTCCCCTGCAATGACATTAAAGGTATGCTCTCTACAGTGATTTTTTATATGAGTGCTGGGAATCAAATTCAAGTCATCTTACTAAAAATAAGTAAGCACCTTACCAACTGAACCATCTCTTTCTGTCTCCTGATTAATTCCTTGATTTTTGGTGTTGTCTGATCTTCGGTTCACTCTGTCCTGGAGAGTCTTTCTATCCTCTGCTCTGTTTTATGTCCTGACTTCCTGTTACAACACTATGCATCCTTTATATTTAGTTCAGGCTTTTACTTTTCTTAACTCTACGTTTTCTCACAAATTTCTTCCCATATACTGAAAACACAGCCTTAACCAATATCCAGTCTCTATCCTTTCATGTTATTCTGTCTTGTGAGAATAAAATTTTGGAGGGAAGCTCATTAAGACACAGGTTGTTGTAAGGGGTGGAAAACAACAGGATGTTCTGAGGGAAAGTGAAAACATCACATTCTTTGGGGAACCTCCTCAAGATAGGGGGGCTAACACTTCATCCGTATTCCTGTAAAACTACTGCATCACCAAATTGGACTCCGGTGGTCCGCCTTCATTTCCCTATTGAGGATGAGTAGATACTTGTTTATGTATCCTTATGACTAGTGTCACACAATACATATCCACAACATTTCATTCCATTATTCTCTCTGCTGTGTTGACTTTACTCCCAACTTCTAAAAAAGAAAAGTCATAATTTTCTCTCTAGCATAAATTAAAAGAGATTTATCTCAGTTAAATTATCTAACATGAAATCATTAATAGAGTCTTGTGTTTCTGCAATTAACAAACATTTTTAAAA